TTACTCTGTTTGTTCTCCTGATTCTAAAAATGTAGTTATTTTTTCTGTAGCTTTATTAGTTTATTAAATAATCAAGATAACAATTTCTATTGCTCCTACCGCAATAGAATAATAGGCACCTGTCAAAAATTTACAAATGACATAAGGATTAACAATAAAAAGCATAAGACATACAACCTAGGAAGCACTTTTTTGATTGAATCATTACTTCTTACATTACAGTACACTAAACTTCATAGCTCTGAATGTGGCCAAGGAGTGGTCACACAAAAGATTAATTTTTAAAAAAGCTTAATTAAGAAAAAAGTAAGATCTCCTTCTTATGATGTGTGCATCAAGCATATAGCTTCATGCTGCAAGAAAAAACTATTCAGTTATCTGAAATAGTTTTCGGTATATGCAGGAATAGTCATGCAAGGTATACAAAATTGCCATTTCGAGAAAATCAAGAAAAAATTTTGTCACATTTGATTGCACAGAATCACAAATATTGCGCAGAGACAGTTTATAAAACATTATTAGGCCCCTGGGACATAGCTTGGGAACTGGCACCTTTGTGGCGCTTTTTGAGCACGCACTGCACATTTTCTGCTGATGCACATTTGCGTTCAGATGCAGCTGAACATCGGCGACTTTTTCTCCTTCATGTGCTGCATGCACTTTTGCAAGGATTCATGCAGAGCTCCTGCAAGATGCTTGCCGAAGTCTACTTGCAGCCAACATGGAACTTCATCACCGCTTGTCCAACAGCTGACTCAACACTAAAAGTGATGAGTGTCGCTCCTTTGGCGCGAGAGCCCAATCAGTGAGTGCACGCTCTCGTTGTTGTTTTGGGTTTTGCCTCCCTGGCACCTTTCAAGCAGCTGCCTGTCAAAGAGCCGTTTGTAAATTGGCAGCAATGCCTTGCTCACATAAGGAGGCAAATCATAGTGGTGTTTTTGGGAAGGGCTGGTCCTTGGCCTTTGTGGCATTTTGCCAGCACCAAGAATCTGGACCTTCTGGGTATAGACATAGACTGTGGTTACTCTCTTCATCACTTGATGTTACTATATAAGTAACTTGCCATCACAGCCTACTGCATCGTGTCTATGTCACCAGTGTGTGACTTCAAAGCCCAGCTATAGTAAGAGCTGAGTTTTGTGACCAAGTCTCCTCTCACCTCCCTCGTCCACCAAGAAGCTCCAAACCAGGCCCTTTGTGCTTTGACAGCAAATTACGAAGTGCTGTTCCCATTCTTTTGTGCACATGGCTTACGCAATCCTCTTTCTAAACCTCAATAAACCCATACACTTTAGCCTCTTTCTGGGCCAGGAATGTACGGCTATCGTCGTCTGACAGTACCGTGGTGTACCTAAAGTTGTGCCCTTCAAGAGACCTCTTGAATAAAATGAGGCCTTCCTCCACCTCCATTTCACCTGCCTTCTTATATTTTTTTTGGCACACATGGTTGACCTTCCACTCCTCATATGATGCGCCACCCACTTAGGTCCGCGCTTGGATCCAGCACAATAGTTGCAAAGCACGACATAATCTAGCACAAGTCTGGTGAAAAGTTCAATTGCGGTGCCGACACCGATGTGGGAACTGTGCCTGTGAGTCATACAAGACCCGTCATAGAAAACGGCGATGTTTCCCGGGTAGCCGAAACTCAATGTGCTGTACAGCTGCCGGACCAAATTGGCGCACTCAGTAGCGAGCATCTCGGCTGCCCGAGTTACGGCAGGCATCAACTTCGTTTATAGGTACATCGGCCACGTTTTTGTATGCAGCGCACGGTGCGAGATATTCATGGCTGCAAAAATATCATTGAACGCAGATTGCCAGTGCTCTGCATCGCTTGTGAAGCCAGAATATTTAGAGCAAACGGATTCAGCTTCAAAGTCCCATCCACTCACGGCGACCTCCATGTAGACCTTTTGTTGTCGCTATTCGAGCATGTGAGCACCAGACTGACTGCAAGGCCGTACTCTCGCTTCTTTTGGCTTATTTTCGCGCTGCCACCGCAAGTCTTGTACTTCATGTGCTCCAGAAGAAGCGCTTTCACCGAATCCAGGCACAACACAGTGAAAACTGTATCGTCAACCGAGTCGGTCACGACATCGCTAGTGGACAGAATGTTCGACTTACAGGTCACTGCCGCGGTTGACGAGAGATCTTGCAGTTGCCCGTCAGCCCTCATATTTATCAGCTACAGATCTGAAGGTGTCCGCATAACTGTATCTTTGACGGATGTGGCTGGCGGTTTGGTCGCACTCACTCGTCGGCTCTCCGTCTAGGCCTAACCCTCGCTCGTCGTCGTCCGCTGCCTCGGTGTCATCGCTTGGCGCCATCGGCGGGTCATCTTCCATGACTTGAGAAGCGGCAGGGCGTTTGTGAAGGTTAGTGAGCATGGACTTCTTTCTCTTCTTTTCATACTTGTCCTTGGACGCAAACTTTTGGAGTGGAGGGGCCACGGTCGCGCGCTGCCTCTGAAGAACCGTATCCAAAATGACGCATCTCGATGGGCCTCTACAGCGTCTAGCAGACAGCTGAGGATGAGAACATGGCACTATTTTGTCACGTGCCTGCTACAGTGAATGAGATCGCATGCTTCTCGCATTTTTGGCGCTCTTTTTGTATTCAACCAACAGGCCTAATTGAGTGGAAAGTTCACAATATTTGAAGCCAAAAACTTGCTCTTTCCAACACAACCAAAATGACTGCCCTCGAGGCAGTTGAAGGCGAGTGTGGCGCCGTTGAACATGCATGATTTTTGCGTCGGCACAAATGAAAAACGGCCGCCGGGCATGTTTTAAATTGATATTACGGCTGGAATATGGTCTTTCAAGATACAAATCTTGGCAAATAAGGAGAATAATAGTTGTAGATTTCAGAAATGCCACATTTCAAAAACCGATTTTTTGACGATTTTTTGCATTGAAAGACCCGTGGCCCCCCCTTAGGTTAACAAGAACACACTCCGCCATCTCATTAACTTAACCAGCTCCTTAACTTAATGCTCCCACTGCGAAAGGCAGATAGTTCTTTTTCGACGAAGCAAGATTGGCAATGCGGATCAGACGCCAGTATATCTTGATATGCCCTTAGTTCTTACAGTGTATCAAAAAGGCTTCAGGCAAATTATTGGGAGATCAGGAAAAGAAAAAACGCAGGTAACTATGGTGTAGTCCTGAATGGCACACGGCCACAGGATGTCACTTTTTGTGGTGTTTAAACGAAAGATGCTGCCAAAGGGAGATGCTGCCCAGGGAGATGCTGCCCAAAAAACATGGCTCATCCCTCCGTTGTAGAAATCGGTATAACACGAAAGTGAAGCGTGTCTCCAGAGATGTAGTGCTTATTGTGTACTGATATACGAGTGCTTGTACAATTTCGAGTGGCGTTTTGCAGCTATAGCACCGTTTGACGTGGACACAGCTACGTTGACGCCTAGTGGCATGTCTCAATCGCAACGACTACCATCCCACTGATCAGTGATTTAACCGTTGTGGTATCTGAGGTTTTTAACATATACCTGAACACAGCCTATCGTTAATCGTACAGAAAGAGTGACATCAACAAACACACACTCAACACTGCTACTCAATATGCGTGTCCTCAAGGGACGTCATTTATAGAGAGAAACAGCACAGTGTGCGCTCCTGAAAACAACGCCAATGCTCACGCATTATGCATTTCAGCAACGCGGGATGCTTAAGGTTTGTAGCTTGAGCCACAAACGTGCGCTGGTGTTCCCCGTCCTGCTGGCCTTCAGTTACGCTGCACCAAGGCATGACATTCACCCATTGACATCGTTGCCTTACTAGAACTGCAGCCATTTTATTATATAAGCCGGTGCTATCACACTGAAAGTAGTCAACGGTGAAACATTAGTTGGTGCATGTGGAAGCTGCACGACTTCAACAACGAGCTCGGATGCCATGCTTTAACTGCGTCATGCCGCATTACTTCTCTCGAGCACTCAGCAGACGGCGGCACAGCCCCGCTTCGCCAACAAAGAGCACGAAGCAAAAGACATTGTGTGAATGATATAAGGCGTGTTGCCTCAATAGCTCAGTCGATAGAGAACCGGGTGATTTTTGTCACATCCCTAAAAAGCCATAGATTCTACGCCCAGCAGGGGCTTTCTTTTTAAATGTTTTCTTTCTCATTTGGTAGCATTAACATCCGTGATGGAAATACATCACTGAAGTCATTGGTGGACCTCAGTATAAAACACTTTTGTGTTAAAATGTTCTCCGCTGCCAGGATGACGAACGACTTATGCTATACTGGATTAAGTCCTGTTGGTGTCGGCGACCCAGAGCACTCCAAGGGCTCCTATCAATACCTGTGCTCGGCACAGTTTCAGTGCCATTTGGCGGACTCTGTAAATCTACTGCTGCATCGCTCCCACACTAAGGTCGTCATCATATCGGGAGGATGAGATTTCAGATACAGCCCTTTGTTGTGTGCTTCAATAAATTATTTAAGGACTACATCAAGCACCTCTATATGGAGTCGATGAAGTTCAGAGACCCTGCAAGAATGAAGGCCTTCGTTCTTGAGTCTCTCGTTCAGCCATGTTTTGAAGTACTCAGTATCAAACGTGCTTGATGGTACTCAAGATGAAGTGCTATGGGAGGACATATTAATAAAAGAGCTTAGGAAGAGGGTGCATCAGACAACAACTGAATAAGTGTGTGAATAAATCTATCCGGTTATTGTTTCCATACGACTATATTTGTATGAAAACTTTCCTTCTCACGCTTGCTATCTCCTAAATACACCTTGGACTATATGCGGATTTGAGCTATACACATCTTTTGCGGTACCCTCATATCTTGTCTTACACATGGACTTATCTAGCTAATGTGCACACAGTAAATTCCTACTAGAACAAACCTTGTTAGAAAGGGCACAGGCTATAATTGTGTAACAGAGAAGCAGCATTCCGAAAATTGAGAATTTGACTTGAACAAGTGGACTCTGGCAGAAGCAATTGCAACAGAGTCACTGACCTGCACTTGCCCGAGTAGTAAGACGGTTGCTCTGGTTGTTGCATGTGCCGAGATAAGGCTTTCCGAACAGTCTTGCCACCTGCAAAGAAACAGGAAAATGCGATCATGGTCACTACTGATTCTGGCACCATTCAATATGCAAATAAGCATAATAGCTGCCACAGAATGAGTAGCATTACAGAGCGACGACCTTCAATGGTAGTCCAAGATGTAATAAGGTGTGTGGTAGATGTGTGCATGGGCTTAGTGTAGCCGGAAAGCCAGAGCCCGGCCTGGCTCGCGGGCCGGGCTTGGGCGAGCTGACGTCTTTTCATCTTCGGGCCCAAGCCAAGCTCGAGCTCATTAGTTTTTTGTCAGGTCGGGCCGTGCCAGATGCAAAGCCCAAATCAAGACCAAAATATAGATGCTGTGACTGAACTGTTTTCTACCCCGTAGTGCCTTTTTCACGACCGCAACCCACCCCCTTTCTTTGTTATCCTTTCCTTTAACCACACTGAACGCAAGAGGAAAGGGTGAATTCACACAAGATGAGCTTTATGATTATATATAGTCTGAATAATCCCCTCTCCTACATCTCGGGTACTAAACTTCTGGAAGGCTAAATATTCAAAGCTTGCTATGCTTCTAAAAAATATATTTGCAATTCCGGCTACCAGTGAGAACAGCAAACATACTTTTCAGTTAGGCAGGATGTGTGATGTAGGAGCGCCGCACTTCACTGAAGTCCGAATTATTTGGCAGCTTATTTTACACGAACACTTCTAATCGTTGCATGTAGTGACTTTCATGTGTCGTTCGCTCATGCTTCATTTCGACTTGCTGAATAAAACGCCACATTATCGGAAAACATCTTGTCTCCGCAGCAAACCTTCATAATGTCCTGCCGTGGCCATTAGCCCAAGCTGGGTCCGGGCTTTTATTTTCGTGTGTCGAGCTGGGCTGAACGGGCTCGCAGCCCTCTAGCATCGAGCTTGGGCTCAAAAATTTGGCCCGTGCTCAGCTCTAGTGTGTAGCAGTTATTCAGTGGCACAGTATCCATAGTGACCAACTAATGCACACGACAATTAGAAAGTGCCAGAAGATGCGCTAACTGTAGGGATGCAGAATGAGACATTGCCATGAGCAACATTCTTACAGTTAAAAGTCAATTGCAGCAATATTTACTTTGTCTAAATTCATTATGAGATTCACAGAATATATTACTGCCAGTTGTGGTCCAGCTAGATGGAGTACGGAGAAATATCTGAAGCAGCAAAAAAGTTATTTTGACAAAGATATTGAGCAGAGGAAAATGTGTTTTAGAGAAGGTTTGGAGAAGACACAACCGAGTTAGGAATCACATGAAGTACCAACAAAACGCTAATTCTGTAACTTCTTTGTTCATAGTCTAATTTATGTGCCACCAGGAAGTGCTCCTCTAATGCAAACAAGACAGGATCACAGTCAGACAGCAGCAATTCGCACTGCTGTGAAACCCCACATCAAAGTTAAATGAAGATATTACCCTCACAACGATTCATTTCGTAAGTTTAAAAGGTTGTGATAGTGACTGATATGCTCCAACTATAGCAAATTTTAAAACGTAACATATTTTACAGGTTATCAGCTACGTTCTACAGAAAGTCAAATCCTGGTACTATTCCAGGTTGCTTCCACTTCCCTTGGAATAAATAATTGGCATTTGCACAGGGTATGCTTCAATTAAAGAAAATATTGTGCAGGGTTTTCTCTATGAGATCCATATACTAATCAAATTGAATTCTAAATTATTCGAACAAAATCATTCTCTTCATGTTTGCTTCAAATCTAAAATTCACTTCATGCACAAGCCTACTAATTTGACTAAATACTGGCTACCTTTTCTTTATGCAACGTTGCAGACCTATATACAGGCCCAAGCAGAGTGAGGAAAGGGTGCTTCCTCATTAATTAACACAGTTTATCAACTTACAAAAATAGCATTGCACTGCACTGTCTAATTTATGAAACCCCTGCAAGCCGCGCCTGGACTCATAGTCTTTGAGCAGCGAGAAACTCTCGCAGTAGCAGCAGAGGCAGGCTCTCCATTGTGCAATAAGTTGACACATGATGGCTGGGCTGAAAACACTCACAAGCAGTAGTTTCTCGCGAGTGAAGTGCTGGGAATCAGTTCGGGAAGTTCTAGATGGCGAGAACGATTCGTCAGGCCTTTTTTGGCAATTGATGACAATACTGGCTACTCAAATGGTGTTTTAAGCAAATATGTGAACGCACTAACGCATTGTCGCTCACGGTGATTGGGTCTCCACACGACTAAATTTTCCTAGCATGCTGGCTTGACACCCCATTATGTTGGTTTTGAAATGAAGACGTGCAACAACTGCTATGATGCGTGCGAGCTGCAGCAGCACTACTTCGTGCAAGACGCCTGCTCGCGCACTTGAGTTACAATCAGCATGCTGCAGTACCTTACGCAGTGCTACTGACATAAAACTAGGATTGTACAATACCGCATAAACCGGAATATAAGTCGAGATATTTTCAATAAAACAACGAGCTAAAGTCGCCCCTCGTCTTATATAGCGGTGTCTAGCCGACCGTGCACCGCTGTCTGGCAACATGTGGCTTGCATGTGCATGAGAAGCTGGGCGCAGCCATATTCGCATTCAAATCCGATAACAGGTTGTTGTTTTTTTCTCTCTTGTCTGTTTTTTTTTTGTGTGTTCGTGATTTGCCTCCTACCTGTATAAAGTTCTGGCTCCGCTTGACATTGTGTTTCATTTTTCGTGGTCTTTTTTTGTTCACTGAATATGAGTAGCGGTACGAGAAGGCAGTACTCAGCTGCATTTAAACTAGAGGTTGCTTAGCCCGTAGAAGCGAATGGGAATATGGCTGCTCAGCGCCGCTTTGGTGTATAAAAAAAAAGTGTGCGCTATTGGAGGGTGCAGAAAGGGAAGCTGCAGATGTGCAATCCTCGGAGAATGTCATTTAGTGGCCAAGTGCGGTTGATCCACAGCTGAAGAATACGCTAGGGAACTGTGTGGGAAGTTCACGGGTGATCACTGCCAGTGACCGTGGATACCATTTGCAAGAAAGCTGTGAAACTCGCTCGAGAAGCTGGGCTCACGAGAGAAGAGTTTCGTGCACCAAACTCTTGGGTGCGTCGATTCATGAGATGCAAAGGATTTTCTTTCCGGTGACGCACATCCATCTGTCAGACGTTTCCAGATGAGTTCGAGAACAAGCTTATAAACTTTCAGGGCTTCGTGAACCGGCTTCGGGGGCAGAACAACTATATGATGGGGCAGATTGACAATGCCGATGAGAACCCCGTGTGGTTTGACATGCCTTCATCGACCATGATCATGCAGCGTGGCGCCAAGAATATGAAGCTGTTGTCCACTAGCAACGAGCACTCGTGCTTCACTGTTATGCTGGCATGCATGGCAAATGGTAGAAAGCTTCCGCCCTTCATCATTTTCAAACGCAAGACAATGCCAAAGGAAGTGTTCCCGACCAGTGTTGTCGTTCGCGTTAACAAAAAGGAATACATGGACGAGGCCATGATGCTCGAATGGATACGAGTAGTCTGGAACCATCAGCCAGGTGCACTTCTGCGTCTTTGCAGCATGCTGGTGTTAGATGCGTTTTGTGGTCACTTAACCGACGCTGTGAAGCGCGCACTGGGCGATGGAAAAACGGACCTCACCGTGATACCAGGTGGTATGACGTCCACCCTCCAACCGATCGACATTGTGCTAAACAAGCCGTTTTAAGGACCGAGTGCGACTTTAGTACAAAAAAGTGGATGTCTGGCGACAACCCAAAGACACCGACGGGCCACCTACAGAGGCCTCTGCTTGCGACTGTTTGTTGTGGCTGAGTGCTTTCCGCCTGGCGTTCCTTGCCAGATTCCATGGTGGAAAATGCTTTTAAGAAATGTTCTATCAGCAACTCGCTGTATGGCACGAAAGACAACGCACTGTGAGAGGCGGCCAGCGACAAACTCTCGTCTTCAGAAGACAGTAGTGCTTCGTCTGACGAATAGGAACAGTTGCGATGGTGGTTGAGGGGAGCTCTGACGATCGGGGTGTGGTGCGTCCAATTTGCAAATAAATGTCGTTCGGCAATTTTCGGTTATTTTTTTTTTTTTTCGGTAACCTGAACTTGGGGGGGTCGACCTATATTCCCACTCGACCTATAGTCCAATTTATACGGTAGTAAGGCATACCGAATATTTGAACGCATATTATCATACTCGATCATTATCATACTCATATCATTCAAATTTAAATTATTGAAATTTTAAAGGATTTGAAATTAACGAATAGATTTGTCCACATGTAACCCTCTCCCCTGTAAATGTGGTTTTACTGCAGCGAAGAGGTACTATACCAAGAATACACCTTTACAAAGCAAATATGCACTGCCACGAAGCCCCCCAACAAGGTTAAACGAACATGTTACTCTCCCGTCAATTCTTCCCTTTTCAAGTTTTAACAGCTTGTCATGCTGGCTCATGTGCTCCAAGTGAAGTAAATTTGAAAATGTAAGGTGTTTTACAGGTTATTACTTGAATTTTACCAAACGTCAGTGAACTGCTCAAAGTTGCGTCCACTTCCTCTGAATCAAAAAGACTGTGTAGGTTAGTAGGGTAACGACAAATATGCTAAATTATGCTTTAAAATGTGTAGGATATACTACAGTTACACTTGGATATAACAAAACAGATAAATTCCCAGGAAAATTCATTATACAGAGGATTTCATTATATGCAGGTTTGGTACGAAATTCAGAAAATATTTGTGCAAATTAAACAAAAAGGGGACTGAAGGCAGAGCTAACACTTATTTACAGTAAAAAAAACACTTATTTTACAGTAAAATACTGCGTTATTATTGCAATAGTAATTATACGGACCCTCTCAGCGGATTTTTGCCGTTGCCGCCATGTTCCGTAACAAGTCCAAATTGATAACATGCCCCCGCGCATCACAACTTTCACGAGTGGGTAAAAGCGCGCAAGCTTTGCTAAAGCAGAGATCAAATGGGTCGGCCCATCCCTATCACCTGGAAAGTACATAAGATAACATCACCCGCG